GGTGCTCTGACGTAGCGTTAGGCCCCCACGGACCTTCTGATGAGGATCATGACCAGGATCATCTGCTTCCAGACCAAAGTTGACTGCAGGCCACTGAAACCGCAGAAAGAGAAATCACAGAGAGGGGGGGACCACCAGAGGCCTTCCCAACTCGGGGTCCCCACTTTTATCCTCTTCCCCGCCTTCACCGCTCTCTGCCTTCTCCTCCCTCCCTTCCTTCAGCCTCCAGCTCACAGCCCACCAGCAATGCCCTTCTCTCCCACCCCACACAACCACCATCTAAAATTATCCTGTGACTTATATACTTCCTTGAGAGGGTCTGTCTCCCCCACGAGAACGTCCACTCCAAGAGAGAAAGGAAAGGATTTTGTTCTGTTCATCCTTCTTCCACCACACATAGAACCATGCCAGGTGCATGGTAAGCTCAGAAAAAAAAAAACCCTCTCTCGGTGTACCTGGACTCCTCATGGAGTTCTGAGGCTGCTTGGAAACAGGATTCCCCAACCCACTTTAGCAGCACACACTTGAGAATGTTCCATGAAAGGAGCAGAGGGTGCTCCCAGCTCCATAGCGCCCCCCCCCCACCGCCTTCTGCACATCTAGCTGTAGGGTCGTCCAGAGCCTCAGCCGATGGTATTTTCCTCCCTGGCGCATTGTTACAATCAGTGTTCAAATTGTTGTCTTACAAGAACTAGCAGGGAATTTTTCGGCTGATCTCCAGTGGAAATAGAAGAATATCCTAGAAATATAAATACAGCTTCCTTGTTCATAGATGGCCACCTTCTCCCTGTGTCCTCCTGTAGCAGAGGGGGTAGGGAGCCCCATGGGGGGCACAGAGGCATGGATCCCATTCATGGGGGCTCCACCATCATGACCTAATCATCTCCCAAAGGACCACCTCTTAACACCAGTGCATTAGGGACTGAGCTTCAAAATAAGAACTTTTCGGGGGACACGAACATTCAATGTATGGCAGCGCATTTAACAGAACTACATCTCAAGAACAAAGGTCAAATGAGGGCATTTTCAGGGGCGCCTGGGTGGCTCAGTCGTTAAGCGTCTGCCTTCGGCTCAGGTCATGATCCCAGGGTCCTGGGATCGAGCCCCACATCAGGCTCCCTGCT